GCGCGATCGGATCACTAGCCTTGAGAGAGCTAATGCAGCAGTAACGAAGCGTAGGCAGCGTAAAAAAAAGCGAATACAGAAGCAAGGAGTGCTAACAAAGGGAGCTGGAGAGGATCTACTTGCTCAGCGTGAGGCTGATTAGCAGATTGCTCATGAAGAGCGTCAAGGAGGAGAGCGATCAGGTGCTAGTCGCCAGGCTCTTGCGCGCTGTAGTAGGTGTAGAGAGACTGGTCATAATACGCGTACATGCAAGAAAGATACTATAGGTACTACTTAATATATTATATTAATATATATCAAGATAGTTACATTGTGGTGGCGCTATACGCTTATAGAGGTGCGTAGGTTTAGTGGGTGCGCGACTCGCTTGCCTGCGCGACTCGCTTATCCATCACGTTACCTAAAATTTAGTTTTTTCTACATAGTTTTGTATATATATGGTGGATATTAGCTTCTTGATCTAGGGCTAGTATATTCCTATAAATACAGCTCTAGTATCAAATTCTTGTTTATTTTTTATTTGGTGGTTGCAGAGATATAGGCTGTTGCTGTAACCGTTCGAGTACCTACCGAACCAACACCCGAAAGGGATCCGAACATGGGCACGAACTAGCCTAGGGCAGATCTGCTGATATAAAACCCCACCCGTTCTCCATAGTAGCTCGATAGATTTTTGATATCCTTTCGTACAAGGTCTATAGGTGTCTATTCGAATCAAGGCTCGTTTGATGTCCCACGCACTCCCATATGCCTCTGAGTGACACTACCGCCGATACTGATCCGAGTAGTCTTGCCTGCACCGTTACAGTTGCGATTCTTGATTTTTAGTGGGATTTGGGGTGCGCAGCTTACTGATCCCGCACGTTAACTAGTTAGTTAGGTGTCACTTATTAAGCAATATCATACCTTAGTATGTTTGGTTTCTACCTTTTTAGTCAGCTAAGGATATCATTTTGCTGCTGCGCAATTTGAACGTCATCACTCTGAAGACAACAACACGTGAGGTCAGCAGTTGATTTTCATTTCTTAGTCACTTTGATGTCAAAAACATGGCATATGGTTGAAAAGCGTGATGACAATTCTATTCTGGCAAAACTACATACTTTGATTTCCCCTTTGCATCGTCGCGAGACTACAAGGTGTAAAAGATGGGATGAAAGAAGGAAGAAAGAATTTGGCCGTAATAATAGTTTATATAGTAGGTTTGTAAATGCCTGTAAAGAAAAAAGACACAAAACGTGCAGAAACGACGGGTGATTTCGTTGGACTCGTGCACGTACATGAGCCTCTTGTGAAAAGCGAGAGTGTAGACATAATGCTATGTCCCGCGCCTTTCCCTTACCCGGTATGAGGGGAAAAAAAGCGAGTGTGAGAAAGAGAAACTCGCGTCTATAATGAAAAAAGAAAGTCAAACTGGTTGACTTTCTTGGGTCGCATCGAGCAACCGGCAATCGGTTGAAGAAGAAGAAAAACAAGTATTGGAACGAAGGTGGGGAAATAAGACAAGAATCGAAAAAAAGCAAAAATAAACGAAGCACGAGAATATATACCGTGGGGTAAGGGAGGCGGGGGAGGTTGGAGAGAGACTGGGACCCAACGCAGCACTTGCGTGGTTTCGTCAACAAAAAAAAGAAAGTACACACACACAATGCGAGTTGCTTTAGAAAACAACTCGACCCAACCTTAAAAACGCCAGGGAAAACAAAAACCAATAAATGCAAAAAACCCGGTAAATGTTATACCTGGGTTTATGGGGGTATCCTGAGGCAAATGAATTTGCCCATGTAAATGTTAATGAGGTAAAGTCATTCTCACTCATTGACATGCCTAGTAGACATATGTTGCAGTCCTTCCCAAAGAAGGCTTAGTAGAGTATCCCTTGTCAGGCTCGCCGGATCTGGGAGCCCATCTGACATCTTCTGGGCCATATCGGCGACTGAACTGCACATCGTTGGGGTCAAAGCTAGGCTGGCGTCCAATCTCTCCGTAGAGCTTAGGTTTTCCAGAACGTCCGCGATCCTCGGAGCCACGAACGGGTGACACTGTACGGTACGACTCGTTGCGGCTCGGCATGGATGGGCGCGGCGCGCTCTTGTAGGAAGTGGTGGGCTCTACCGGACGGTTGGCACCAATCGGGGGTTTGCCGATTGGCGATGGCGATGGCGACCGTTGGTAGCGTGATGGTTCGCGCGGCACGTGACGAGCGGCGGTTGGAATTTCATCCGGACGGACAGAGACACCACCTCCACTAACCGGGTAGTAATAAACCTTCTTAGTGCTGCTGGGCGTAGTCTGTTGTACCGGTGGGATGGTGGAGAAGGTATCTCTTTCAGGGTTGGCATATTGCTCGGAAGTGGTAGTTTCGCGTAGACCAGAAGATCGAGGTGCAGTTGACTCTTTCCTGCGCGAGGACGATGGGTGGATGGGCATCGTCGATGAGCGGTGGAAAGCTGGTGGTGCTGGGGGTGGCGAAGTCTCCGTACGTCGCGGTAGTCGTTCAGTGTAGGAACGCTGCGGGATTCCACGTCCAAGCTCAATGGGCGACGATGTCGAGTGCTTGAACATAGGAGGGCGCCTCTCTTCAGTGCGCCTCTCCTCGGCCCAATCTACGACCTCGGGAATACCGCGATCAGTTCGATCAGTTTCGCGACGCGACATTGAAGGGCGATCCTTGTTAGGCCTGGCGGAAGACCTACGCACAGGAGCCTCAGCGCGAGAGGACTCGCGGCGGGAAGAGCGAGGCTCGGCAGCATAGTAATCGCGAGAGGATGCTCTAGCAGGCATAGGGCGAGATGACGTTATCTCCTCTTCAACCTGTGCACGCGACTTGTGCTGATAGCGAAGTGCCTCCTCGGCCTGTACGCTCATTTTGCGGTGAGTGGGCAGAGTAGTGTGGCGTGCTTCTTCGTAGGATCGGCGCTCTTCAGCAGCCTTGCGTCGAGCATCTTCTTCAGTGCGAATCTTGTATCCCGATTCGTGGCGCGCCTTCTCGTCGGCTGATGATTCACTCTCAGCAGATGCGAACTTGCGGTCGCTGCGGACTTCCTTGGCACGTGCCTTTTCACGTTCTGATCGACCGCGGTCTTCCTTGGCATATCTGCTGCTTTTTGAAGACTCTTTTTCGCGGCTGGATCGGGGTGGCGCAGTAGGCTTGGATGTATAAGTTTGGTGGTGGGAGCGTTCACGTTCACGCTCGCGCTCGCGTTCTTGGTAACGGCTGGCATCGTCACGCGACGATGGAGGTGCGCGGTACTCGGTGGCGTACCGCGTGGGACCATTTGCAGTAAAAGACGAACCACCAGGTGTTGGGACGTCGAAGCGCGCAGTCCTGTCGCGTGGCGCAGCGGCTTGTCTTGCAGCCTTTTCCTTGCGCAGCTTGTCAAGCTCGAGGACTGCGTGATAATGAGCCCGCTTTTCGTCGTCGATGAGACATTCATAGGCTTGCTGGATGCGGTGAAACTCTTCCTGCTTCTGCTCCTTCAATGCGGGATCTGTGACTTTGTCGGGGTGGCACTTGAGTACCAGTTTGCGGTATGTGGACTTGATGATGGCGGCAGTGGCACTCTTATCGAGGCCGAGGGCCTTGTAGTGGTCGGGCGTGGGATCCAAGTCCATGGTGTTTGTGTGTATGTGAATGGGAGGCGGGGCTTGGATGGGGGAGTAGTGCTAATCGATTACACGGTGGGGCTTCGCGTATACTTTATAGAGAGCCCGTCGAGGCGGCAGGGCGACTGTTGGGCTGGCACAGGCACGGGGAAAAAGTCAATGCAGCCAATGCCTGTGGCGGAGCTGGGATGGATGGGATGGACGGCGTGGCTGGTATGTATACGCAGACAGGCAGCGCCACAATTTAGGGGAGAGGTAGCGAGAGAGAGGCCCGGCAGGCGGTTGGTGGCAAAGGGCTTTAAGGAGAGTCGGGTATGTGGTGCGTGTTGCGTGGTGCTTGGGTGGTGAGAGCGGAAGACGGACAGCGGACAGCGGACGGCGAACGTGTCTGGGCAAGGGGGGATGACGAGGATGGCTGGGCCGGGTTACTTTCGCTGACCTAAGGAAGAGTGGACCGAGCCGCGAACACAGACGCTCGCATCGAAGACCACAGAAGGTCGTAGTGATGGCGAAAAAAAGGCGGATTAAACAAGCCTGACAAAGAAAGTATGTGTGTGCTTAGGGCGCCAGTAGTGAGGCTGTGTTGTCTTGTTTTCTTTTACTTTTTCCTCTCTTGCGCCGCAACAATGGTCTCGATTAGCTGCCTCGTGGTTGCCCGGCAGCGCTGCTCTACGGGTGCGGAATTGCGGTGTGGATGCTGCGACGTCACCGTTTCAACGACGCCAATATGCTACTATGCCAATAAAATGCGGCGGGCAATGGTTGGCATCGATCGCACGCCGTTGTGGGTGATGATGGCGAAGAAGAGGAGAGGCACAAAAAAAACAGGGCAGTCGAGGGTGGATGCGGACAGATGGACAGCAGTATGGTCAAATCAGTCAGCCAGCCCGCAAGCACCTGGGGCGTTGCGGTTTACTATAACGCTGCGCCAGGATTGATGAGTAGACCGGCTCTAGGAACCCCCCTGGCGATGCTGCGGCTGGTCTGTATTGCCTCGCGCAAGCATGACTGGCCTACCCAACCTTGCGCGGGTGGTAGTGGTCCTCTACTCAGGGCTGAAGGCTGTCACGGCACCGCGTGCTTTCGGCTTCCGTCCGCCTTCTCCTACACCTAGACCAGGCCCTTCCGTGGGGCCATGCTATCGCATCGCGCAAGCCGCCGCCGCCGCTTCACATGAGCATGCTGCACGTCGCATCGGTCACAGCGCCTACGAAACATCCAGTCCAATCACGCCCACCAGCGGCCACATGGTCGTTTGAGACTTGGGGCTCCATTGCATCTGATAGGATTATTCCCCTCAGCCGGCATGACTTGCGAGGCCCAGCAAGCGAGCCAGAACGGTCAGCATCCCCGCTGAAGACACTTTGCAACACACAGCGAATCCACGCCGCCGTCCTGGCCACAGATGGAGCACACTGCAACCGAAGGCACACGGCCGGCTCCCCGTCACGCCCAACACCCAACCAGACCTGTCTTCGGCCTGACCAGCCCTCTGAGACAACCTGATCCCGATCTCTCAACCAGCCGTCACCAGGTCTTGGTGGCCCTAGGGGGGCACCATGGCATGACTGCGCATCCTCCGCACTGCAGCTGGCTCATGGAGGGGCTCCCCGGTGGGCCGTCAAAACTCGGGTCAGGGCACGGCGCTTGCGTCGCCAGGCTGACGATTTTTTGTCCCATGTGAGATTTGTTCCCACTCGATCCGTCCCGAATTGGCACATGTTAGGCCCTGGCGTGGTTGGACGATAAGATACGCCTATGCGGGGTGAGGCGGGGCTCTTCTGCGTGTCACGCCCAATAATGACATATCCTACCCACAGGCTCCTGGCGAAGCAGGTCCCTCTACGTGGTCCTCCACTATTGCGCAGCACAACTGGCGACGAACATGTCTTGTGCACACTCGAGAACAGGTGCTGGTCACCAAGCATGATATCATGTCCGACAGGTACGCTGCACTGCACATGTCATCCCACATCAGCCACCTCATTCACTCCTCGTCTGGACACTTCCACACGGGCACTTGAACGTCGACTACGATCGGCTTATGGTGCCCGGTAGGCTTTCCAGCAATCCTGGGGCCCAGGTATGCTGCGTTGACCACTGTCGTTGTCTCAATACGCGCCGTCTCTGCATCTTCAAAAGCCCGACCCGTCCTGCATCCATCGTTGAGACATGCATGTCCCGCATTCCTCAATTTTTTACTATGGTTCTCTCCTCTCCACCGCGCCTCATTATTCTCAAGGGCAATACCAGTGAGGCTCGACGTCTGGACAAGGTTCCCATCACCGGATGGGGGCTGACGCCATGTAACATCCGGCGCAGGAGACGCAGCAGCCTGGTTTCTAATAGTACCATATTGCATCGAGTCAGGCATGCCTTGACGTGGCAGCCCTGTATCGCAGCCCAAGTTGCGCCCTGCTCTTGACTTGATAGTCAAGTCAACTAAGGAGATTTTGTTGCTAGTTCTTCCTGGATCGCTCCAGAATTCTACGCTTTGCACTAGGCTACCACTATCACTCTGTGTGGCTTGGTCCAAGGGCTGAGTCCTCCACCGTACTGTCTCGACGCCTCGTCCTTGATGGATATGACCGCAGATGCTCAACTTGGGTCTGATCTTCGACAATCTTCGTAACAAAGCCGGGCACCCTTCTCTGCCGTCTCTTGAAGCTTCTGCCGATCCATCGCAATGCCCTTTTGGCGGTGTATGAGTCACGACAATGTCTACCCCATCTGGAATCCTATTCCATACGTCTTCTGCTTCCTCTGCTCGGTACTGGAAGGCCCAATTCGCTTGTTGGGGCGTATACGGACTACCGAATACCGTGAACCGTGTCCCCGGTCCGTTTGGTGAGGTAAGCTCGACCGTAGTAGTGGTATGCTCAAGGTACGTAATCGACTTTGAATCGACCAACAATTTTTTGCACGCCGTGGGGTCTTGGTCGCTGGGCCATTTCCACGAGCCCTTGTTCTTGTTGAAAAACGGCGAATCGAGTGTGATTTCGTGATTGCCTGCTCAGGAAGGAACAAGAGAAAAAAAAACTCATCAGCCCCACCAACCATTTCAACCCAGATAGGAATTGTAAATTACCGGCAACAACAATTTTTGCTTCAAAATCTTGCTTCTCTATCCATTCCACAGCTTTTTTCAATTCGCTGTAGCTCCCTTGATTCGTCAAGTCGCCGGCGTGGATAAGCACGTCACCTCGAGGTAGCTTGGGTGTCTGGTTATGTGTATCCGATACGCACACTATGCGCGTTTTGCGCATGCATGGTGTTGAAACGGATGCGGGCATACTTGGACACGTGTGGAGGGGGGCAGAGGAGGGGTGTGGTTCGGGTGGGCACCAACCAACTACACCTTACCAAGCTAATCCCTCACCGACATTAGAAAGGCAAGAAAAAACTAGACTTTCTAGCCAATAAGGCTAGAATACAATATAAGATAGAAAGCAGACGTGGTGAAAGAAGAGGGAAAGAGGGTTGGAAATCAAGATCATGGGCTGTGCATACGTCATACCTTCTACACACCCTTCCCCATTCTAGACCCTGTGTACCTGACATCCCCCTTTCAGCCTCACGAGTCTGGCAAACAGCAGTGGCATCATATTGCTTGTTCCCGCCCGCAGTCCCTGAAGTGATGGACAGGCACACCCGTCTGTGGCAAACGGGCAAAGTCCCTTTGTGATCGTCCTGGTCTATCTTTCTCCGGACACGAGGAGGGGAGGGGCTGTATTTGCTTGTTGTTGCCGCACCTCGGCCTGTTAACCCTTTTTTTCTTTCGCCACCGCCACACCACCACCATGATGCCAAGGCTTCCGAGCAACTTGCCGCGTGCTGCCCGTTGTCAAGTTGTTTGGTTCAGGGTGAGATGCAAGTCATTAGCTTTTTTTTGTTTTTTGGGCGGCAGATGTGGAAGGAGGTGTGGGTGTGTGTATAGTGATCTTGGGTGGATGTAGACTAGTGTAGTCTGTTTCAAAAAAACAGGCTGTAACGTCACGTGTGGGGCTGTAGAGATGTGGGTATAGGGGGTTACAGGAGGATAGTCATTTTAGGCTTGTGGTCTAGCATTGACAGTGCCTCTGGGGGTGCTGGGAATTTTACTCCTTGTTGGGAGTTGGTGTATAGTACTTTGTGGAGAGGGAAAGGGGCCTTTGTAGGATGTAGACCAGTGTGTCGTAGGCAAGAGAAATAGAAGTACTGCAAAGGCTTAGCAAATTAAATGTCAATGAGTTAGGTGTATGAACTCATGAACATAATGTTTTGTTGTAACCGTTCACATAGTCAAACATAGGATTGTGAATCTTGAAATGCATAAATACTCAAATACATGAAGAACAAAAGAGGCCTGCTAACTCCCTCCTAGTCCCATGCCTAAGGGCGGCGGATAAAAACGTTATCATTTTACTCGTCATGGAGCCACTGTATCTTGCATGTGTCGAGCATACATCTTCTTCTCTCAGCAACGCATTTAGCTTATCACTGTTACCAAGGGCAAGTCTGCGGTAGTAATGCTTCTAGAAGCTCACCTGTGTCATTTCGAAGGACTTACAACCCGCTAGCTAAACAAGCATACAAATAACACACCATTGATCACCTGAGCAGAAAAGAAGCTGCCAGACTACCTTCTTGAGTATTTACAGGCCAATGTTATCTTTCTGAAAACATTAAACTGACCTCTTATCGTTGAACTAAGAAAATTCTGCATTGATGATGCGGATGAATCTATCAGAGATTTGCAAACACTGTCAACCTCGTGTAATCAGATAAGTGAGGGAGCAAATTTCATGTTTGTTAACCTTCACAAAACGTTTTCTTTCTCGGTAAAACTGCCTTTGACGAATTGCGTACTTGGTTTAGCACCAAAATATCATATAACACTCCTCAAGCGTTATTAAGACAGTCTCCAGGCTGATACATTGACTTCTGGTATACGCCTTACCGAACCATCTTTCTTCGCGTCAAAACGCACTGCCAGAGCCATGTATAGCTAAAACCATACATCGATTCTCCTATGGTTTGCATGGCGTTTTGTTCTCCATTCAACACAGTGATTGGCAAAGTTGAAGTCATGATTGGTACTACAGGCGACCCACCAACCTTACAAAGGGCAAAGCACCACTCAGTTAAGGCCGAGCAATCACTTTCACACTCACTTGTCAGCTTGAAGAAAGAGCGAAGAACTACACGTGGAGGGATCCGACTCACAGAGGGCAGTCGTGTGGTGAGAAAAGTTGGTCTGTCCTTCTTGCCTTGCTCACCTTCACCCACGGTCTCAGTATCCCGCTAAAATCTCCACCGTGGCATTTATCAACGTTTCTCATCTCGCTTTTGCGAGGTGAGGTATAACGCCCTTTGTATTCCGTATTCTTTTACTGTCGAACAGGATCGATCGTTTTTCTGACCGAGCAAATATCACGTACGGACAGATAGATCCGCAATTGCGCATCAGCTTGACTGACGAATATCCCAGCATTCTCACCTTTCCAGAGTCTCACCCAGAGACATCGCACCGTATCTTACTTGTACCCGACTTCCCACTGCATTCCGTGACTATATAAAACAAACGCTCAAAGATGGATCCGACCACCAACAACACGAATAACTTGGAATATCTAGTATGCGGCAAAGACGCTCCCATCGTCACCCCTTCCACACCAGCGCAACCGACACTGATCCAGCCTATTACCACAATCGTGTCTATACTAGACAATACCGTATACGATGAAGCCGAAGAGACGGAAGATAGCGAGAGAACACTTGACTACGTCCGAGTCCAGCTCAAGGCTTTGAGATACCTAGCATCCTACCCGTCAGATATGCTCAGCGGGCGGCAAGCATGCAAGTGGACGCAAATGATCTCGCCATCGGATTTCAAGCCAACAGCAAGAGAGGCACTGCATCTATGCTACTACCTGCGCTCCCAAGGCTTCGACACGTTTGCAAAGTTCAAGCGCGGATACATGAAACTATACGTTGCAGACCAGGAGTCCAACAAGCGGAGTCCGCACACCGATGTGCTGTATTGGAAGCAAGATGTCAAGACCAACGATATCAGGTATGCGTGCTCTCCCGGGATACCAGAGCCAGTAGTAGGAGGCAGACGCAACGCTGTTGCGACGCTATCGCTACATACCACAGAAGGTCGATCGCTTTACGACCACTACTACGGTTACTATGCAGAGCAACGAAGGCAAGACCAGCGCACACTAGATAGTCTTGCGACTCTCATGTCGGCAGCAGAAATCCGGTTGCAGAACTTGGTCGCCGGTGAGAATCCTGATCCTGGGTAAGTAGGCCCCCCGCCCTCCCCCTGTTCCTTCACGCATATCCGGTAGTATACTAAACAATCAAACAGTGAAATTGAAGTCACGCTTATGCAGCTTGAAGAATACCGCGCATTGCTCCGTGGGGATTAGTATATCCACCCGTGTCGGATGCCACTTGGAGACGTTCTAAGGGCAGTGTGGGATAGGTGGAGAGCACAAGTGCGTGAGTTGGGGAGCGTACGCGTGCTCTGGGGTATTACCATGGGTAGACGTCGCGCGAGCGTTTGATGATGTACTGGGTTTGGATGGGGCTTGGCTGCAGTTTCTGGGAAAGAATGGCCATTTTCGGGGTTGAATCTTTTCACCTCGGGTATGTACGTACCGCTGATAGGCAAATGGATGTGCAGATAATGCGCACCGCGGTACTAGATAGCGTAGCGTAGGTACCGAGGCTAATGACACGGAAATAGACATGTGGATGATACGTATAGTGGCGCTAGGCGGCCACAAAAGGCTCCCGTGTAATAGAGAACAAGATGTACAGTAGTGATGCTTGCTGTGCTTGGCGCACATAGAATCAAGTTTTCTAGAAGGAAACTTGCTCCCCCCCCCCTTAGCAGGCATGAGCACGTGTACACAAAGTATCGGAAGCCAGTGCCTCTGGGTCCATTGTTAATTGAGCGCGGATTACGAAGAGTGGATGATGCATGACAACACCGGAAAAGCTCCGATGACGATGCGTGTTGTTGTTATGCATCGGGACGCCTGACTAGCCAGCAATCATCAAGTTTATATATACAAGTATATGTATACACGGGTAGAGTCATGCTGCGGATGCTGTGTTATTTTTTATTTATTAAGGGGGATCCTGCGTGCTCAAGGGTATCTGTCGTCAATAAAGTGTGGCGCGTGTTAATCAACCTGTTGTTTGGGAAAGAGCAGATGCAAGACGCAAGACGCAAGACGCAAGACGCGGATGCTCACAATATAAGCCTTGGCAACCATATGTACCAGGCACGGATGCAGAGCGGACCGCTGTCTGCAGCCTACACGGACCAGATTACCAATGGTACGATGAACCAAATTGCCTGGCACGGAGGGCGTTGACCTGCATGTTGAACCCAGGGCGGGAAATTGAGCTCACGGACACTCCTTTGCAGAGCTGTTTGCGGGGAAAGGTAATGGGCCGTTTTGGCCCATGGGACAGGAAGGGCTTTGGGATAAGGACAGCAATGGGCATCGCAGAGGGTGCAGGAAAACTCGACAAAACAAAAGCAGGGCAAGGCAAGGACAAAGGATAGAACAAGAGGTTGGCTGGTATACCGATGCAAGTATGCGCTAGGTGCAGCGGCGCACGTAGATCAGTTGGCCAAGCGAGAGGTAATCGGGTGTGCGCGACGCGCTCACGACACGGGGGGCCCGTCCGGTGCATCCGCCAGCTGTGGTGATGGGAAAAATGAAGGATGGATGTTTTTTTCGTTTGCAAAGTTGTTGTCGTGTGTGAATGGGTGTGCATGGATATGAGACCAGCAAGGCAGAAAGAGAGGTATTTGCCGTTTGCAGGCTGCTACTGCTACTGCTACTGCTGCTGCTGCTGTGGTGAGCAGCGACGATGCAGGGCTTACTACTGGCTGGGAGCCTTGTCAGCGACTCCCGCCGAGCTGGGATGGATGGCTGGGTGGAGTTTGAAAAGAGGGTAGTAGGTTGGCAGCCTGGGTTTTGAGGGGTTAGGGAGAGTGGTAGAGTTTGAAGTGTGAATGATAGACGATGGGGGGTGATGGAGAATGGGTGGTAAAGGGCGGATGGTGGATAGAGAAGTGGAAGGTGGTGGTGAGGCGTGGGCAGGCGCGTTGGGGCGGTGATGGAACCGGGCTAGTGCGGCGCAGAGGCCACCTTGTCACAGACAGGCTGATAGAAGGCGGCGACAAAGACACGAGCACGCGCAACAGGCCGACGGAGCAGCGCAGAGAGACAGCATGGCCGTCGAGACACTCTGGCTCCAAGTACATGCGAGCACGACACGCTCGTCGGCGCCGTTGGAGGTCGCGAAAAATTTCCTTTACTCCCTGAAACGGGACGCACGGACCAGGCCACTAGCCCGTTCCTGGTGGTGATCCAGCCTACTTAATGACCTGTTCATTCTCTTAGATAGGCCCGCAGCCCACCTTCTCCGACGCGCTCGCGGCACCGCATCGAGTTACCATCCCGTCACGTGACAACTCCAGTGCTGCGCCCACAGCACCCCCGCCACAGAGGCTTCTCGCGCTGTGTGTGTCGCTGTGTTTGTGTGTGCACTTGGTGCGCCTTCGATGGCATTCGCCTGCGGGCGCATAGTAGTAATTTCTAATCCCTTTGGCCGCGCGCCCATAGCCAGACCCACCCGCTGGTCACGATGAGGTTTGTCGCATATTCCCACGGCTGCTGCATGCATGTCGCGCTAACCCTGCCATAGTGCCACCAGATTGGACCGTCTCGTCACGTAAGTGCACCCGACTCCAGCTTTGCACATGGCTTTGCACTGCATCCCGACGCGCCAGAAAGAACAAAAATACTTGCCATGTCCCCCGCATACCATGCCGTGCCATGCACACACCCCCCGACATAGCATTGCCCCTCTTGTCCCCTCTAGTCCACCCTTGTCGCATGCTCGCTAACCCGTGCCAAGGCTCCTCGAGACGGGCAGCACAGCATTGATCCGGAACACAGCAGCCGACCAACTCGCTGACGTCCAGAAACAACATCCCGATGAACTATTCAACCTCCTCACCCGTGTCATCCCTTACCTGAGATCAAAGAGCTGGGAGACTCGAGTCGCTGCCGCCAAGGCCATTGGCGGCATTGCTGCTAACGCCGACAAGTTTGATCCCAATGCTGCTGATGATGATGATGATGATGATGTCGATGAATCCAGCAAACCCGGCGTCAAGTCCAAGTCAAATCACAATGTCAAGTCCGAAGACAGCAATGGCCCCGTCAAGAAAGAAGAAAATGGCGACGCTGCCTTGCCTCCTCTCTCCCACGGACTCGATCTAGCTACCCTCGACCTCCCCTCCATCCTCAAGTTTGGTAAAGTCCTGGCTTCCTCTGGTGCAAAGGAGCATGACTACAAGCTGGCTGCCATGGACCCCGCTGAGCGCTTGGAGTACCAGAAGAGTACCCTTCTCAAGCGCCTTGGCTTCGAGGGTCCATGGACCGAGGACCTCTCCCCACCCCACGAAATCATGCCTCAAACACCCGGGCCCAAGACGCCTGCACCAAATCGCATCGACACCAATGCCCCACGTGCCGACAGTTCGAACCTAGCCTCTTCTCCTCCCCCTGCCTTGGCGACTCCCAACGGCCAGGGACTAAGTAAAAGGCAACAAAACGCCCTCAAACGCAAGCAAAAGAAGAATGCTGCTGGAGGCGCTAACAAGGTCCAAATCGTTGATTTTAACGCAAACTCACGCAAAGATTCACAATCAGAAACAGTAGAAACCCCCAGTCGCCCCCATCCAATTGCCCTTAAGCTTGAAAAGACCGAGAACGGCGATGAAGGCGACAGTGGTGTAAATGACTACTTTTCGCTCGAGCGCAACGGCGGAGACGATGACGCCAAATTTGTCAAGGAGTTCAAGGGCGCGCCCGTACCCGAAAAGTCATCGTTTCAGGCTGAGGCTGAGGAGGCTGGGCTAGAGTGGCCATTCGAACGTGTGTGTTCGTATCTTGCTGTCGAACTTTTTGACTTCACCTGGGAGGTCCGTCATGGGGCTGCCATGGGTCTTCGAGAAATCCTCCGTGTGCACGGCGCCGGCGCCGGAAGGCGGAAGGGGCTCACTCGAGCCGAGAATGATCAGCTCAATCAACAATGGCTCAACGACCTGGCGTGTCGCATGATCTGCATCTTCATGCTTGATCGCTTTGCAGACTTCACTGGTGATAATGTCATTGCACCAATACGTGAAACTGCAGGACAAGCACTCGGTTCCTTGCTGCAATACATGACTGGCGACAATGTGCTGGCAACTTTCAGAGTCCTCAATCGCCTAATCATGAATCAGGACTTACCTGTTGACACCAACCCTCTCAGTGCACCCTGGGCCCTTTGCCAGGGTGGTATGATTGGTTTGCGCTACCTTGTCGCTGTGCGAAACGACCTGCTCCTTCAAGATGGTACTTTGATGGATGGTGTGCTCGCTGCAGTCACCAATGGCCTGAGTAATGACGATGATGATGTCCGAGCCATCAGTGCCGCAACGCTAATTCCTGTCGTAAAGGAATTCATCGAGATGCGGCCCAAGGCACTCGAAGGATTGATGAATGTCGTCTGGTCATGTCTCTCTAGCTTGCAGGATGATCTCAGCGCTAGTACTGGTTTCATCATGGACTTGCTGGCTAAGCTCTGCGGTTTCCCTCAAGTGCTCGAGGCAATGCAAGCAAACGCTCGCCAAGACCCAAGCCAGTCATTCCATGAGCTCGTCCCTCGCCTCTTCCCCTTCCTACGACATACCATTACCAGCGTTCGTGCGGCTGTGTTGCGTGCACTAATCACATTCCTCAATATTCAAAGCCAAGACTCAGATGGCTGGATAGACAGCAAGGCGTTGCAGTTGATATTCCAGAACATCTTGCTCGAGCGCAATGAAGGCGTTCTGAAGCTTTCAATGCAGCTTTGGAATGCCGTAGTTGCAAGCTTGGGTAGTCACTTACCCGACCATCTGGAGCCCGTATTGGATGCGATTGTTCCCCTCACCCTTACACCCATCGGAGTCTCTCGCCACCCCATTTCCCTAGACAAGTCGCTTCTCATCAAACCTTCAGGGCAAGCTATGGGACCGCCACCGAATACCGAGATGAGCCGGAAATCGACACCGCCCGATGGCGCCGAACCAGCCCAAAAGAGGAGAAAGAAGTCCCGCCCAGGAAAAGACGACATGGCAATACCAACACCATCCTCTCAATCTCACAACGTCGACGGACACATGATTACTGGAGATCTGGAACTCATTGGAGCAGATGTCATGATCAGGTCCAGAACCTCTGCAGCCCAAGCTCTGGGAACAGCCATGGGCGCCTGGCCTGAAGAATCGCGACTTCAGGCTTTCAAGTCCAGGCTGGTAAGCCCACTGTCCTCACCCAACTCCACGACTCAATTGACGGCTGTCATCATTATCGAGGAGTTTGGAAAGAACCTGAAAACCAAGGACGCGTTGGCCGAGTTG